ATGCTGAAACTAAGGGCAGTGACATATATTAGCTAATATTTTTTACTATAGGCGTTTATTCCCTCATCCCCAGGTAAGATATCTTGGTCACATACAACCAATCATATTTTTTAAAAATTGTGTAACCTAAGATTTTTGCTTACCCTCTTACCCCCTAAAATATTAGCTAATATATGTTACTGCCTAATGATCCTGATGCATTTTGTTCATAAAATTGCAAAAAAAATGTCAGAACAAATAATTCTGGCATTTTTTATATATAAGTTTGTAAAAAAAATGCCAGAACTAATAGTTCCAGCACTTTTTATTTATAAAATTGCAAAAAGAAACATCAGAATAAATGATTCTAGCATTTTGTATTATAAAATCACAAAAAAAAATACCAGAACTATTAGTACTAGTATTTTTTATTCATAAAATTGCAAAAAGTACTAAAACAAATAATTCTGGTGTTTTTTATATATAAATTTGCAAAAAAAAATATCAGAACTATTGGTATCAGTATTTTTTACATATAAATTGTAAAAAATTGTCAAACTTGATCTGACTTATGGCTGGCTTGAGCTTTTTCAAGCTGACTTGTGAACCAATAAGCCAATTTAATCATGACTTGGCTTGGCTCAGCTTAAAAAGCTTGAGCCAGCTTGCAAGTTGGCTCAGCTTATGTAAAGCTTTAGCAGAAATGGATTTTATGCAAGTACAAATGATAAAGAAAGACTTTAGATTCCGCTTAAAACTTTAAGTTATAGATTTTTTAAGAGAAATAGTACAACTCATGTCTCAGTTCTGCAAAGGTCTCACTGTAACCTTATTTACAGCAGTTGGCTTATACGAACATTTTTCTAACTACCAATTAAATCTAGATTTTACCATGGTTAAATCCAAAATCTCTACTTAACAGATAATAATGGCTAATATATTAGTTTCCCTTTGTTTTCTCTCTTCTTCTGCTTTTTTAAATACTATTATTTTTCTAGCACTTAATGAAGTTGCATGTGATGTTAAGGAGCATATAGATGTGATCAACAAAAAGCACTAATTAGATTTAATAGAAGTAACCAACAAAAGCAAATTAAAAATTACTGATAATATTAATGTATTATCTAAAATTAATATAGATATTAACACTCTACACCAATCAACAGTAATAGTAGTTGCGTAATTATATTTTGTACCTTCTATCCTGATCCTTTCTGAAAACTGATGTTAACTAAAAATCAGAAGAAAAAGTTAAAGAAATAATCGTGAACTTAAGAAAAAATAATATTCACATCTTTCACTGTATCACCTGATTCCTCTCTTGCTGGTCAGTACTCTATATTTTTAAGCCTTTTGATATCAGTTTTTAAGATCTCATTAGAACATATTGTCTTAAGTGATGATAAAAACTCATTGTTCAATAACAATAAAAAACTCAAAGCGAAAGAAGGTACTACCAGAAGTAAACAACTTAATTATTATAGGATTCCAACTTAATTAACTAGAAAAAAATATCTTGCTAAATCTTATCATATATAATATTCCAGTCAAGTGGACTAATTGTGAACTCCTTGCTAAATTAAATAAGTAGAAAAAGGTGGTGTCAGTTAGCATAAGAGTACAAAAAAAATATTTAACGGCAAAAGTAAGATTAATACTCAATCATAACTGCTTCAAAGCTTACAATAATGACAATTGGATAGTATTCATTGTATTTTTTTCAGTCTAATAGTTTCTGCTTCTTGGAATCTTTTTGAAAGAAAACAACATGAAAAGTTTCAGAGTATTATTACAAATATCCTTGAGGATATAACTTATGAATTACTATTCTCAAATGGGCATTCTATAAGGTTGCTGGACAAAACTAGGTAGTTTAGCAAACTGTCTAAATGTTGAAAAGGTAAAACTTGACAAAACTATATTAAAATCTTAGTAAAAAATTAGTAAAACTTGACAATGTCAAAACTTATAGTAAATCATATTAAATAGCGAAACAATATTAAAGTATTATTAAAAAATCAGTAAAACTAGAGTTTAGATATTTAGCAAAATTTAAAATTAGTTTAAGCAGGCAACCTTAGCATTCTAGCCAATTTCTTATTGATAGCAATTTATGATCTTTTAAAATTATCAAAGAACAGGACAGTCTCAGTCACTTATCAGTTATTTCTTAATATGCGATACATTGTTTTGAAAACTTATTCTTAAGCAATAGTGAAAAAACATCAAATTATTTTGGTGCTATTACTTTATATCATCTTACTGTATTCACAAATGTTACCCTGCAGGTATTTCTTAGATCAATGCTTCTTTAAACAAGATAACATCCTATTTCAAGATAGTGACTGGAACCAACTGGATGTTTCTTAAATCACATATTACTTCAAAGTATAAATCAAAAAGTAAAGATTCCTCATCAAACTTTATATCTTTAGAAAATTAAAATAACAATCTGGTAGTTTTATAAGATCTAAGAATGATAAATTATATGAGTCTTATAGTCAGCAACACAGCATAATTAACAAGGGTGAACTTAAGCTACTGTTAGAACAATTAATTAGTTTATGTAGTTAACATACTGGAGATAGGAAGTTTAACCACTAGAAGAATAAGCTTTTCTAACTTTTCTTTTATTATAGAGGATCTTTTTCTTTACAATTTTTCTTTTTGTTTTTCTCGTTTTTCTTATTTTTATAGTATAATAATTTTATAGTCAGATTTGATTAAACTGTGGCCTCTAGAGGTCTTGAAGTATCTTTAGTATATAGAAATGATTTCTAATATCTTATCTTTTACTATAATAAAGTATATGATGTCTAATAACTTTAATATTAAAAATAAAAATAATATAATTATTTGAAATAAAACAAAGAATTATATATGTTTATAAATCTTAATAATATATAAGATTATATGGTTGTTTGTATTTAAAATTTTATGCTATATTTATATAAATAGATAAAAATAGAACTTATGATATATTTACTTTAGACTTATAATATTTCTGTTTCTAGTACTAGCTAAAATTTATAATTTTCTTAATAATAACTAAAATTTTATTATTAAAATTGTATAATTTAAAAATGCTAAATATTTAATCAAAGTTATTACTTATAACTGAAATTCAGTAATTATAAAAAGGTTTAATTACTAAAAATAGTATATTGGTTAAAAAATTTATGGTGATAGTGATTATAATTAAGTTTTAATTATAGAGAGGTAATTTAATAGTATTTAAATTTATTCTATACAGACATTTATATAAAATATGCAATATTTAATGTGATATCAAAAAAAATTACTTTATACTTTTTTTTATTTTTTCTATGTAGAAATATATCATAATTAGTTATTTTCCAATGTTAAATTTTCATTTATTAAACTGTTCTTTTATTGATCAATAACCTTGCCTTTTCCATCTTTTTAATCTTTTCTCTCTTTTTTTATTCCATAACAATTTTTTTTTTTGATTTTTACTCAATAAAATTTGTTCATCAGGATTATTTTCATTAGCAAAATAATTATTTAATGAATCAACGGTTATATCATCCAGGGTATACTTACCATATTTACCATTTCTATATTGTTTAATAAAAAATGTTGCGGCAGCTTTTAAATCATATTCCCCATATTTTCGTAATGCACCAATATGTTTTGATATTACCGGAAGTAAAAAGTTTATATCATCTGTTGGTCCGGATAATTTAAAATTTTCTACATAGCTAAAATAGAAACAAATTTTTAAAATGAAATTTATTTTAAAGAAATAGAAGTTTAATAGGTCATTACCCAAAATTTCCAAAGTTATTTAAACGCCACAGTAAATAATCTGCCATTACTTCTTCCTCTGATAAATGATCTCTTATACCTCCTACAAGTGAAAAATGACTATATATGTAAATTTTTTTTTGTATTTTTAAGTTTATATAATTTACCTGTTAATGCAATCTTTAGAGAACTCTCGGGATCCGGAAGGTGTGGTACCATAACACCTACATTGAATAATTTGTTCCTTAGTTTGTTACTTACTAATTATTTCAAAAATAAGATATTACCAGGGGTATCAACCAGATAAACCGGTGGATCATCCAATACTTTGATAGAAGTAACAGCAACTGATCGAGTTACTCCTGGCAAAGCACCAGTTTTTGCGGCTTTTCCTAGAAATAATGTATTAAAAAAACGCATTCTATTTAAAAGCTAACTTATCAATGGTATTTTTACCTTTATGTACACCAATCCTTCTCATCGAGTTAATTAAAGATGATTTTCCAACATTTGGCATACCAACGACTATAACTGAAACAAAAGGATATCTCGATGGATCCTGTTTATGTTTATCTTTAAAGAAAAACTATAAAATTTAGAATTCTTTCTAGCTTTGAATATGAATAAACCTTTTTTCTACCTGCAGCAAAATCTATTATTTTTTTTACATTTTTATCCATATTCGCATTGGTAAATATAACATTCTGATTACGATATTTTTTAAATGCATCAATTATTGGCTGAAAAATAAGGAAAGAATCAGTTAGCAATGCTACAAAAGTAAATATTCTTACAAAATACATTTTTTTGTAGTTTACTTGTTGTACACTATCATCAGCTAAATCAGCTTTATTGTAAACAATAATTTTGTCTTTCCTGCCAGCAATTTGTTCAAATTTATGGTTTATAGAAGACAGAGGAATGTGTAAATAATGAAGTTAAGAAACTATCATCAATATAAAATTTTTAAGGAATTTTTTATAAAAAAGGATATTCTAGCATCCCTTGCTTCAACAATTAAATCTACGTTTGATAATCTTTCAGATATCACTCTCAAACCTTTTGCCATATGACCTGGAAACCAATTTATTACTTTATCATACATGAATTGTGGTCGAATTGAAAATATCGACGCCATTTTTTACAAATTTAAGATACAGCTAGAAATGTTTTAGAAACTTTAACGTTACATTGCAATAAATATCTCGAAAAATAAATTAAAAAAAGTTTAATGACATAGCACGTCATAAGTGCCTCCATGGCGCAACCGGCTAGCGCGTTCGGCTGTTATCGTACTGACACCGAAAGGTTCCTAGTTCGAATCTAGGTGGGGGCGTTTGTAAATAAATTACTGTAGTACTTTATATTTGTTTTTTTATTGTTGAATTGTTTTTATATTCAAAATGGAACGAAAGTTTGAGGTTCTTTTTTTTTCTTAATTTAATAGGTTAGATTGATGATTCGTTATTAAATCATAATTTTCCAATTTTGGAATATTTCTTGTGAAAATAATTTAAAAAAAAGAATGATTTACTAGATCGCCTATGTTTCTGGTTTCGATTAAAATATATTAAACCTCATTCATTTCTTTTCTTTTGATAATGCTTAATCATGGAATTAAATAACTATATTATCGTATTTCCTGATTTTTTTACTATCATTACTATAGTACTAATTTCTCAAGGTAATAATCGTTAAAATGTTAAAAGTCAAATCTTCTAATATCCTATATTAAAAATATTATTTCCTTAAAAAGCCATTACCACGTGTTATTATGCTTACAATGTCTTTGGTAGACGTCAAATGCAACTTCGTAATACCTTATATTTAACACCTGCAAGAAGAGAATTTTTAGCATACGATGAACCACAAACGGGACCATTGGTATTTATTGTATTTTTTTATATCTCTTTATATGATATATCTAACATTAAACTACGCTTTATAAGGCGAGTATTATTACTACAATTATCCTGACTGTAATAGTTCATGAGATACAATATGTTTATAAAATTGAAAATTATTCGACTGCAATTATTATAAATTTATTTTTATGGTTTGGTAAGTAAATTTAAAAAATAAGATATATGTTTAGATTTCAATGTAGATACAACTTCTCATCAATATTTTTTTTGATAGCTGCGAGTGCTTTATCGTTTACGCGATACATTTCTTATAACCTACCAGCACTATTATTCTTAATTGACACGCTACATGATTGCGTCCAATTGATAGGAATAGCTATAGCAATACAATATTTCATTAACAAGAACTACTAAAAAGTTCATTAATCGAAGTATTTAATGTAAACAAATAAATGTTTAATAATGTTGTTTTTAATCAAATCATTAAGAAAGATTTTCCATAAAATAAGTTCTGTGATTCTTTAGTCTTTTTTCAAATCAAACCTTTCAACTGTAACTCCTTCTTGTCTAATGATAAAAATTTCAAGATAATCGCCAGTATAAATGTCCCTTTCTGTTGCTGAAGTGAATGCATCTTTCGTAATACGAATTGCCGATTCCAAAGACAAGGGAGTTTGTTGAGCACCTTGTTGATTTTTTAGTCCAACCTAATATGTAAGGTTATGTCAAATAACTTGCAGTTTTAACCTAGAATAATTAGCTATAAAAATCTTGCCTGATTATCTAAAAATGGCTGTATAAGAGCAGCAGAACTGCCACCAGCCCTACAGAGTTCAGTACCCATAGATCCTACGGGATCAAAACTGTATACTATGCCTCTACCTATAGATTAATAGCGTTGTAAAAGAAGTATATAAAATAAATCTTATATTACAATAAAATTATACCTTGATCATCAATTCCTCCTAACAAATTGAAAGTATAATACGGAAAAAAACGTTTATAGTACAAAGTATTAGAAAGCATCTGAGCCAATGCTGGTGTTGACATTTCTTTATCGTGGGCGTGTTTATACCACTAACAAAAAAGCATCAGAAATTACAATCTATTGAATCCATTAAGAAACTCATGTTTTATCTTGTACCTCCAATTTTTGACAGAGACTCTTAGTCAACGCGAGACCATCGGCAGCAAATCCGTTTGTAGCCAATACTGCTTTTTCGGTTCTAATTGAGCAAGAAAGATCAATCATAAATGAATGCGTAATTAAAAGTAAATACATTTAGTATAAGTACAATTTGAAAGCTTTGGGCGAATAACGCGAATGTATAGAATATCCAGAGCTTTTGCGAGTATCGGAAGCCAACAAACAGAAATCAGCACCAGCAATGCCTAACGAAGTACTATTTATATTAAATTTCGTCAGCAATCTATTTAAATTATGCCTTGTTGTTAAAAGAAAAGTAATAACCATACCCGCCATTGTCCGCATATGGGTAAAACTGTCGTTCTACTGGAGCTTCGACTGGCACATTAGCGGAAGTATCATTATTATATAAGATAACGGGATTCATTGTTATTTTACGAGGAACAATTTCTTACAAACTTTATATCACATCCTACGTGCGTTCGTAATCGATTTACGAATTACTGTTGCACAAACACAATTTTTATCCACACTACGTATACACAGTGATTTATTTTAAGATGTCTTCCGTATACTCTACATACAACATTCGTTATTTACGAATTTCAGAAAAACAAGTGTTACCTTTGATTATTTATCTCCGTCAAGAAAATCTTTCTTGGCTTAATGATATAATATTCCAGGTTTGTCGAAGCGCACCTTAAGTTTACATTAAACGCGTTAATTAAAAATAATATATTATAGGAAGTACTTTCAGCTTTGCAACGAATAATTCCCAAGAACTTTTCGAGAAAAAAGAAAAATGTTAGCGATAAATCTCTTTCAGATATTTATCGTGGGTGTAAGTATTATTAAGGCATATTTAATAATTAATTTTTTTTAATTTCATTATTAATTTGAAAAAAAATTCACAGCGAATTTTCAGTTCGCATACTATTTTAAGCCTACTGATGTAAAACATTCAATACTAATAAAGGTATCAATATTTTTAATATTTTTATACATATTATTACATATAATACTTTAAATACTTTATTGATATCAATCAATTACTTTTTCTCCAAATAAAACAAATGTGTCTTCATCACAGTCACAAACAGAACATAATGAAATTAAAGAATCCCCAAAAGAAAATTATACATCTCCAACAAGTGTTGAAGATGATCAAATACTAAAGTTTAATGTTACATATCAAGGATTTAATATTATTAGAAAATCTTTAGTAATAATCGTTGAACCACTTGACAAAGTCATTGAGTTTGGTGATAATGTTCAAATTGCTACAGCTATGACAATTGATAACTATTTTGGTAAAAGTGATACAGATAATGAATAATGTTAAATTTGTTGAAAAAAAAATTGTCAGTTCAATTCTTAAATGATTCAGAAATATATAATTTACCTTAAATTTCACGCTTCAATTATGTGAAAAGATATAAGTCCGCCAAGCTATGTATATACGTTCTTTTTTTTCTTTAATTAAATAGTTGGTTCATTGGATTTAAAGTTTCTAGTCATGGTCTTCCTCTTCATAACCGGGGCATTCTTGATCAATTTCTTCAACACTATCATATTCACATCCACACCAAAAGCAATAATAATACGTCTCACGCAAGTATCTCAAAATATGATCTAGTTTTTCTGAAGGCTTTAGAGGAAAGATTGTAAAATTCAGTACTATATAAATTAAATAGGACAATATATTTAATCCTAATTATTTTCGTACTTTAAGATCCTCAAATCCTTTAGGTCTCTCTTCAAATCGCATTTTGTCATCCTTATCGTTTTCTACAACTTGTTCTTCAAATAATATTTCATCCTTATTATTGTTTTTTATCTCATTATCCTCTATGTCTTCATGTCGCCAATAAATATTATCCTTTATTTGGAAAGAATGTGATTAATTAGTGATGCAACAACTCATATAATCGTTCGTACTTCATACCTCAATCCCCTATTATAAACAAGTAACCATCTATTAATATATATAATTAGATAATTAACAAAACCATATTAAACAATCGTACATGTTTCGTGTCCAATGTCTCACATATAATTTGCAGCTTCCTAAGCTGTCCTTCGACGCGCTTCTCAAGTTTCTCTTGGCGAACACGTTCACGAAACGAATCTTCTTCAAATTTTGCTCGTTTTGCAACTTTGGCAAGTTCAGCTTGAGCCTTGTGTTTTAATTCAGTAGCCATACCTAGACCGAGTTTGTCTAACAAAATAAATGTTTTTTAGTAAATTGAATACAAACGTTTAAAATAACATTTTAATTTACCTTGTTTCATTTCGAGTTTTATAGGTTCCGTCCTTCCACTATTGCCTAAACCTTTACCCTGTTCGTAACCCATCTTTTTGAGTAATTTCAATCCTGGAGATTCATTTTCTTCGGTATCAATTCGTTTAGCGAGAGCTTGCTCACGATATTCGTTCTCAAGTTCGCGACGAGGTTTATTATAACTTTTATCTAACATTTGTTTCCGGCGACGTTCTGAGTAGGTTAGAGAATATGAAGGTTCAGGTGGTGGTTCGGTCAGAAATTTTGATGACATATAATCGTCTGGATCTGAATCAGACATTTTGAAACGGTAGAAGAAAGATAAGAAAGATCTGTACTATCATTATAAAGGGTGATCTGACTTAAAATAGATCACGGGACAATCGGGACATTAACAAAAAATCTTTTTGTATCACTTAATAGAACTATAAATTTGTCAAGAATATCGTATTTTTAGTATCAATTACAAAAAATGCCCGATGAAAAGAAGCTCCCTTGGGGAATCAATGCGACCAAACCAGGCTCCGCTAAGGTATAATATAAGTCCGTAACGATAAATATGTTTTGGTTCAGCGATTTTTAATTATTTCTGATCTTTTCATTTCGCGAACGTTTCAGACTTTAACAAAAACAAAATTACAAGCTTTTAGCATTGGAACACATAAAAAAACTCCATTTCAAAAACATAAAGAAGAACTCGAATTAAAGAAAAAGGTATTGTTTTTATAAGAAATATTAATAAAATATTGTATTTCTTAAGTCTACTTCTTCCACTTTATTAGCAAGAATCCGAGGAAGCCGCTAAAGTATATGCAGAATTTGTCGCTTCTTTTGAAAAGGAAGAAGGTGCAGGAAAGACATTTGTTAAAGGCGAAACGATAGTACCGAAATGTAAGTATTTAATTACTTTGTTTTCTCGTAAATGAAATAAAATGTTAATTTTTCATTGTTTTCAAAGTATTGTTTGATCATGAAGCAATCAATGCGAAAAAAGAACCAACTACAACCGCATCAGCACCTAAACTTTACAAACCACAAGCTTT